TGGCGAGAGGACAGGTGGAGTGGCAGAGGAGGAAGCCCGGGCCGCCAGCCACCCTGGGAGCAGCTGCGGGTGCTCTGCGATTAGGCCGCACAGGCGGGACGGGACTACCAAGAGGTCCGAGAAGGGGGTCCCAGACCTCCGGAAGCGCTGCTCCCACGCGGAAAGGCAGCCCGGGAGACCAGAGCTACGCGGTCTGGAGCGCCCCCTCCATCCGCTGGTCTGCAGGAGGCAGGGCTCGGATCACCGGTGGAAGCGGAGGGCCTGGGCGGCTCTGGATGACAGTTCGCTCTTTCTGCCCCGAGAGGCGCCGGACAGTAGAGGGAAATGACAATGTACAGCGCTGTGGGCGGCAGGCCTACATGGGGCGGGCAGGTTGGGCTTACTGGCCCTTTGTGACCTCTCCAGGGCTGAGACCTAATTTTTTCACTCCAGGCTGGGATTCTTAGGTGCAAACACAGCTGGGAGGGGCGGCCCTGAGCACGTCAGGCATTTGGGGCTCGGAGCGGCTGCACTGCACGTCCTTTTCTGCAGGCAGGCTTGGGCGACATAGCGGTTCAGCGTCGCTGGAGGGCTTTTAAAAATGTACCCACCTCGGCCCCACCCTCGGAGGTTCTGATTTAGTCGACTGAGAGCGGAACTTGGGCACCTGCAACTCCGGGAGGCTGCTTAGCAACTCTTGAGAACTCTGGGGGTCGGAGCTGGGGGGAGGCCGAGATGCCACGGGGCCTGGAGGTGCGGGGGACATTCCTTCAAGGCAGCAAAGCTATTTCATCTCCTTCCAAAATGTGACCTCACAGGGACACAGAGCAGCATCCAGTCCAAAGGGCAGCAAAGCGTGTGAAACCGGCTGACCAGTGGGCGGGGCTTGTCCGGAAGGAGGAGCGGCATCCGCAGAGGCAGCTGGGGAAGCAGCCGCGCTGCCGACCCCGGGGCTGGAGCTTCAGAGTATCAACCGGAGGGGAGCTTGGCGGCCACGGCCTCCTACCCCCTCCATGTGCAAGCGAGGAAGCTAGTCTATGAAGATGGTCCCTGCGTGTCAGGGGAAGCTATTGGCAGCATGTTGGCCAGCTCCAGGGGAACCCAGTGTTCTTTTGCCTGCAAAGGAGCGTGGAAGGCCCATGGGTGAATGGAATCCCGGGGTGTCCAACCTTCGACCTCTCTGGGCCACACTGGAAGAAGAAGAGTTGTTTTGGGCCGCATATTCAATACGCAAACACTAACGAAAACAAACAAAAAAACCCTCATCATATTTTAAGTAAATTTACAATTTTGTGTTGGGCTGCATTCATAGCTGTCCTGGACAGCACGTGGCCCACGGGCCACGGGTTGGACACCCCTAGGCCGTAAATGAGTTTGGTATGATAACAATTTTGCAATACTATGAGAGAAAACCACCCCAAAATTCACAAAATAACAGGTGGATGTGAGATAGGCCCACCTGAAGTGAGTTCTCTGAATAATGCTTGGGTGCAACAAGATGAAAACAAGTCTGAAATGAAAAGGTATAATGAGATACACACAACTGAAGGGAATTGTCTTAAATGGCTGATTGTAATGAGATGAACATAAATCGCAAGGCTTGTAATGAAATGAAAAAAAAATTCTTGCCTGATAATACTGGGTCTAATGTCTACACCTGAAATAAGTCGTCTCAGTGCACTGCATGTAATGAGATGCATATAATTTTAAAGAGTGTAATGAGATGAAAAATAAATCAAGCACTTGTCTTAAATGGAAGCCGTACTAAGATGCACACACCTGAAGGGCATTGTCCTAAATGGGTTTGGTTTAATGAGATGCATTTAATTTGCAAAAGGGCTAAATGAGATTGGCTCGGAGAGAGGCTGAGAAATATAAAAGCACAAGATACCTACACTTGAACGTGGTATAATAAAATCTGCATCGTCTGTGGGATGGAAAGAAGATGCCGAAGTGGAAACGCACACAGAGCGTGATCGGATCGGTTTCCTTTGCCGGCCGTCGGGGACCCCCAGCCTGTGATGCTCTGCCGAGTTGCATTTTCCTCTGTCCCCTTCCCCTGCCAGGCACATAGTAGGCATCTGTGAATGCTCACTGACTGTGTAACTGGCTCAGGGCGCTGCCGTTTATAGAGCAAAAGGAAGTTAAAACGAGGTACTTGTAGAGACAGCTGAAGACTTCTGAGAGCAACGCTTCTCAGTCTTCAGGCGTCTTGCCTTGAACCTGGGAAAAGGTGGGTGTGGGGCCTAATCTGCATTTATAACAAGCAACCTTGGTTGCTTTACACCCCTAGGCTCGTGGCGGCCTCTAGTGGGCAGGTAGGCAGGTAACACTTGAGGGAAGGCGTCTGAGTAAAAGACACAGGTACACTTTGCGGTTGATGGTAGGAGTATCTTCACTTCCACCAACAATACACCATCTCTGGTTTTTTTCAAAGGCAGAGCCTTCTTTACGCTTTGTTCTCTTACTCTTGGTGGAGCAATGGGCCGACAGAGTTCTCTTCTTAAAAACAACAACTCAGCCCTGCCCAGCAGGCTCACCGGCTTGATTCCCAGTCAGGGCACATGCCTGGGTTTTGGGTTTGGCCCCTTTTTCTCTCCCTCGTTTCTCCTCTCTCTAAAAATAAATAAATAAACTCTTTAAAAAACCCACAACCACTCAAGTATTGGAGAGAGAGAGGCAAAAAAGAGGGGGCAGAGAGGGGAAGCGTAACTAACCAATGAGCCAAACAGTTAGGGACCCCTGATAATGCGCGGCTGCTAACCCTCAGTTTCAGTGTTGGGCCACCTCAGTGGCCACTGTGACGACACCTGGAGACCACATTGTGAGGAGCAGCCACGATCCAACTGCACCCAACTGCAACCACGTGCAAATCAACGTCCCAAGCTGCCCGATCGCCTGATGTTTCAACAGAAACCGGGAACCTGAATTTTTACGTGCAGTCTTTTAACTTAAAAAAATAAAAAATAAAAACAATATACGGTCCAAACAAAACATGTCTGCAAAAACATGGAATTTGACCTGAACTCCATTTTTGACGTGAGAGCCTCTGGTTTCCCCTCAGAATAATAAAGTCTGAGGTCATGCCTGGGAAGAGATCATACCCTAACCGGTGTGTGGCCATCCTGAACACGCTTGCAGTTTCAATCTTCTACTGGAACGTAAACTCCCTAAAGGCAAGAACTCCGTCTTTGCTGATCACAACTGTGTCCTTGGTACCAAAACCACCTGGGACAGCGTTGGTGCTCAGTAAGAACAGACTGAATGAATGAGTCCAAGCAGACAGCCATGTGGCAGCGGCATTGCCATCGTCTTGTGCTATCCAAGGCAGCAGAGGGGTCCCTTGGTCAAAGAAGCACGGCCTGGTCATCAGCTCCCTCGACTGGCAACCGCCCAACCGGGAAGGTCTGGGATGGGTGTTGGGGCCAGAAGTTAGCCTGACGAGTTCCCACGGGCCTGACAGCCGGGCTCTGTCTTGGGGGTAGAGGAAATCTTTCCCCCAACTCTGTCCACGCGACTGACCCACTCCTCTTACTTCCACAAGGATTGTGGCCCATCCCCTTGGGTTGGACGGGGCTTGGATCGTGCACAGAGAGAGGTCACTGCCTCCTCAAAACATCAGCACCCACATCTCGAATGATTTAGGAAATCTTTTTTTCAGGGGGCAGCATGATGGAGAGATGGCAGAACTGGGAGGAAAGCTTAGGAAGGGGTGGGAGAGGCTGGGCGGGCTGCTCTGCAGTTTCTTGGAAGAGTGCTCCCTAAAGTGTGTTGGAGGGAACACTCTTGTATAATTGAACAGATATTACTTGCAGAAAGGCAAATAAATTTGGGGAACAGGTTAAAAACTAAGTTAAACAGGCTTCTTTCCTGCAGGGCTTCTCAGAGCCTTTATATAGAAATGTGCCTTTTGAAACTGCACCAGCAAAATATTATTTGGTTCATCCTAGACTAATTTGGCCATGGAATTTTTTTTTTTTTTTTTTTTTTTTTTTTTGGATAGCTCATCTTTTAACAGTGTACTCTTTGGAAAACACTTCTTGGAAAGTCTACTGTCTTCCTGGCTCTGGGAAAAGAGGTTCTAAGGTATCTTCTTCTTTGAGCTCTTGAGATTTTCTCCGCTGGCCGGAGGCTGTTGGCAGAACTCTCCAGGCGCGTCGGGATGCGCGGGTGGGGCGGGGGCTGGGCCCGGTGACAGCAGTGACCCGCGGAGCAGAGCGGCCATCCGTGCTGCTGCAGGCCCATTTTTTCCGTGTAACCAGTCCCTGGCCGGTCTTCTGCTTGCCTGGCTCTAGGGTATTCACGGGGAAGAGCCGGCGCCACAGCCTTTGCAAATGTGAACGAGGAACTTGCTCCTAAGTGAGGCTCTGGACATCTCAGCGACAGTGCCCACTAAGGACGCCTCTGGGCTGAAGGTAACAAGAAAGCCTGCCTCCCGCTTACTTGGGGAGATAAGGGACCAGCTGCCCCTGCATTTCTTCCTGGCCCTGGGAGTATAGTGCTGAACTCTGGGGTTCAGAGGGCAGCCCCCCACCCCAAGACATGGAGCCAGGACTCAGTGTGGCAGTCGACTTCCTTTCCCATAGCTCGAGGGTGGGCCTGAGAGGGCGGGGCGGGGGGGAGGGGACAGTGGTGGCCTTAGCTTCGATGATGAAAACTCTCGGAGCCAAGGACAGAGGCAGGAGAAGCAGAGGCCTTTGGAGGGAGCTGGAGGCCGTGGGAGAGGACGGCCAAGTGCTGAGCTCTCCACTGCCGCGCGGGCTGGTCAAGAGGGAACGCAGAGCTTCCCCCGCCTTCTCTACCCGGTTGCTCCGCCTTCAAGGGAGACATGTGTCATGCGTGTGCCACACTTGGCTGTCCTCCCCAGGAGGGAGACTGAGGTCACCAGAGAGCCCTCTGCCTGTCACCTCCCATGTGGACAGTCAGTTCAACAAAGGGCATGCTGAGGCCTCCGAACTCCGTCTGGTCCACAGTCCCACTAACCACAGAAAAAGAGCATCACGCAGCGGAATTATGGTGGGTAATAAGATTTACTGGAAACTTCTCAGCCACATTCAGTACTGGTTTGGTGGATACATCGGAAGGAGGTTGCACGACCTGGGGCAGGTGGAGGGGCTGGAGGAGGAGAGGGCGTGTGTGCGCAGGCGCCGGTGCTGGGCGCTGCCTGTCCGAGGCGGTAGGTGGGGCTGTGTGCATGCGTGTGTGTGTGTGTGTGTATGTGTGTGTGTGAACAGAAAAACAAACCAGAAGAGGAAAAGTATTTTATCCCACTGCATGGTGCCAAAAAAGCTAGACTTTCTCCTACCTGTGGCATCAAAAGGGAGTAAAAAATGATCGAATCGCCAAGATTATAAATAAGGTTATTTGTTTCTCAAAAATCCCTATTAAAACATTAAATATCACCTCTTTTGGGGAAGAAATACATTCATTTTAGGGAGACCTTAGGAAAGTGACCGTTCTTTTGCTCCACCCCAACCAGGTGGGGGAGGGGAAGCCCCCAGAGGGCCCTGAGGGTCCCCTCGCAGTGAGTCAGGTGGCCACTCACGTTCTGCCACTGAGGATGGCCAACGCACAGTGTACAAATGAAACTGCAAGTCTGTTAAATAAAATTCAATGGGAAACACATGTGTGGTCAGTCCTGTCTTCACAGCCATTGGGGTGGGCGGGAGGGAGAGGAGGGGTGCCGTCCGTGGGCACTGGAAGTTGGGGCGGGAAGGGTGTGCGTCAGGGCAGACCGTGGGAAGCCTCCTCCTCACCGGGCCCCAGCGCCTCCAGGGCTGTGTGTAATGGTGGAGTGTGGGTTTGGGGGATGGGCGAGGGGGGCACCCCTTGGCTCGGAGGGGCCGTTTCTGTGGGCCCTCCCCCACACTTTGGAAATTGATGGGAGGAGGTATGTAGCACCTTCTCCAACCCCTGGCTTCTCCTTGGGCTGGATGCTTCTCTCCAATGCTCCTTCTGCCTTCTCCGAAGGATAGAATGAAGAAGGGAGGGTGGAGGCCGAAGTGGAGGGGTCCCAAGCTAAACTGGCTCCGCCCTCTCTGATGGCCTGTGGAGGGGGCAGGACAGGCGAGGGGCTCCATCTGAGGGCTGGAGCCTCTGGGACAGGACACGCTTGTCCTGCTGTTATAGGAACACCTGGGGACAGTTGCGGTTCCCAAAGTCACTTTGATGTGGCTTCTAGCCCAGGTTCTGCCACCTCCTTGGGTCCTGGAGCCAATCTGGGTGAAGGGACTCCTTTATCTCCTACAGTTTGAGCTCACCAGCTTGCTATTTGTTTCCAGGAGAGAGAGTGAGAGAGAGAGAGAGGAAAGAGCAGAGAAAGTCGGCTCCGGTGGCTCCCTCCCACTCTCCCAAGTCCACAGTTGCCTGAGCCCAGAGCCGGGGCCTGGGAAGGAGTCACAGCCCCTGGAATCCAGCCTCACTCTGACCTGCAAGATGCGACGCCTCAGGCCCTGCCACCCCCCAGCCACTGGCTCTAGCTTCGGGCTCCCTCCTGCCCTTGAATGTCTCTCAAAGGGGCTGAGAACCTGTAGGGGGTGGAACCCAAACCCTCTTCAACTCGGTCTCTTCTCCTAACTGTCCCCTGGCAAAGGCTTTCTCTGCGAACAGCACTGATCTGCCTCAGTGCAGGGCTTGTAAACAACGCAAGTCCTTCTGTCAGGGGGCCCTCAGGTGCCATCCGACCGCGGGCGTTGATGAATCCAGACCTCACTCCTGCCTTTCCGCACAAGCGGCTCGACCGGCCCCACCAAACCGAGTCCTCCGTGGCTCCGGGGGAGTAGGGCTGGGCGCCATGGAAGCTCGGGGGTTGGGAAGGGGCAGGTGTCTCCTCTGCATGTTTTCAAGCTGCTGATTTTGGAAGCTGGGCCCAGCTTCCTCGGTGCTGCCTGCCCACGCCCTCTTCCCCCCCACCCTGAAACCCTCCTGGCGACACTCCTCCCGCCAGGCGATCGGCGCCGTCTGGGCTGCCAACTACTCCAGGGAGTCACTGTGTTCCAAGCCCAGGTCACTGACATTCGTCGTTTGAAGCTCGTCAGCCTCCTCCTCCAGTTCCTCTTCCTCTTCCTCTTCCATCTCATCCTCATCCTCTTCTTCTGTCCCATCCAACGAGTCATCGTGTGCGGCCATCATGGCCTGCTGCATGGCCATGGTGGCATTGTCTGAGGACAGGGACTGCAGGTTGTCCAAGTTGATGGAGCCTGTGCGAGAGAAGAGGGTGGGGGTCAGGCCTGGCAGCCTCAGAGGTGGAGGGTAAGTGGGCCGGCTCCCGCGGCGGTGAGCTGGACGAGGGCCCCTCCCGTCCCCTCCCAGGTGACAGCGCTCCTAGTTACCATTACTGAGCATCTTCTATGTAAATGTGTCAAATACTACTGACTTCCGAACAATCCTGTAGGTAGGCATTATTATCCCTTCTAAAGAGGAGGAAACTGAGTCTCAGTGAAGTCATTAGCTCACGGTGACAGAGTCAGGCATGAGAGAGTTGGACTTCTCTCCCTGGCTGATCTAGCTCAAAATCTGGTTTTCCCACTACAGCTCATAAGACAATTGCCCCTCATGTAAGAACCTCCATGCAACCACATAAAGGCGTGTGTACACGATGGTACGATACACACACGCACTCCTCCGCTCCACCTCTGAGCTGTGAAGTGTCTGGCTCGTGGAATCGTCCACTGTGCACGGGGCGACTGGCAGCTAGAACAGTGTATAATGAAGAGTGCGAGAGAAGCGGGGAGGGCCGAGCTCTTCCTGGCGGCTGTTCACAAACCCGCTGCCTGCCCAGTGTTTCTAGATGGCTCTCCGGAAGCTGTGTAGACCCCAGCTGGCCCTAAGCGACTCAGCGTGGCTGTGGGAGGGAGGAGGGGCTCTGTGGAGCAGCCACTGGCTCAGATGGCCACTCTCTCCCACTGGTTCTAGTGCGGTTGCTTTTGGCTCATTAAAATATATGCAAAATACCCCCTTCTCTCCGGGGGATCAGGGAGGGACAGCTATTGTGACAGAGGGGCCCCTGCCTCTCGGCCCTTGAATCCTCGGGCAGCTGTCCGGAGGGAGTTCCAGGGGCCTCCCGCCCGCAGCCCCCGGCTGGAGCACCCGGAGCCCCAGTCCTCACCGTCGGGGTTTGTCCCCGGGGCGCCGCCCTGCTGCTGAAGCACCCCCGCAGCAATGGAGTTGGGCCAGAATCTTTGGGTGGGCCGGTGCTGCGACTTGATCTTCTTGGCTTTAGGGGCGGGGTCTGGGTTGCTGGCATCAAGCATGGGCTGCAGGATGCGCCTCCGGGCATTGATGAACCTGCGGGGGGGCGGGGGAGGTGGAGACATGGTCAGCCACCCCCGGGTGGTGGTGGGGTGTGCGCCTGTGTGCGTGTGCAGAGAGGGCTGAGCTGCTTCCAGGCTCTCAACAAGTGATCCACCGTGCAGAACAGGCTGCGGTCTGATCCGGGGTGTGGAAGCCCCCCTGGAAAAGGCTCTGGGCACTGAGGAGCTCATGGAATCACTTGGTAACCGCAAAGCAGCATGGGATGGATGCATGAGGAGCATCAGACTCCTGTACTCGAGACCTTTCAGGATGGAACAGAGGAAGGAAGGGCGCCGTCCCCCTTCCTCCACCCGCCTTCATCAAAGGCATTCATTCTGACTTCTCTCCTGACGGCCGAGGGCTTGGATCAGGGAGCCCAACCATTGGGTGTACTCCCGTCCTGCCAGGCCGCTGTCTCTGAGATTTCTAGGACAGCTCAGACAGACACAGACACGGGGAAACTGAGATCCCTGTGAGGACAGACCGGCTGCTTCTGCCTCTTCCTTCCCACTCCTCCCTTTGCAAAATGTTCTGGTTTGCAGTTAGCTCACATAGGTGGCGGGTAGACCGCGCAACCATTGTGTGCCCGGGTTTTCTATGCAGGCATGTTCCTGGCCCAGTTTCCCAGCAGAGGGCGCTGAGAAGCTGCAAATGAAGCCAAAGGGGTGTGTGTTGATCCTGGCTTTCTGCTTCCCGTCGAACAGGAGGACCGGCTGTGGGCGGGCTGTGGGCTGGCTGCAACTGAGGCGGGACTGGGCATTCTGGTCTCTTCTCCATGCTGTGCATTCCCCCGCCAAGCAAGCATCCTCCGCACCCGAGAGCCTTTGGGTGGGTGACGCTAACTCACCAGTTATTGACTTGCAAGAGGGTGAGGTTTGTCTGGGCCGCGATCTGCCTCTTTTCATCCTCCGTGGGGTAGGGGTGCTGAAAAGAGAGAGGGAGGGCTGGTGAGGGGTGGACATCCCTGGTCCCCTCGTGGACCATGCCAATCTACAGGCACTACCTGGAAAAGGCAGCCCCGGTGGTGTGGAAGCCCAAACTGGGGAAAGCCTAGCATTTATTCCCTGACAGAATGGGTCTATGGCTTGGGGAGCGGCTGCCCCAGGCCTTTGGCTCCACAATCAGGGGCACCCGGCTCTCGGCTCAGCCCCCCATAATGGGACCACGGTGGCTTCCCTATAGTTGGACATTCATAGCCTCCGCGGCAGTTGACGTCCTTCTCGCCTGGTCCTCCCCCCACGCCCCCCCCAGCAGGCGGGGCAGGCGCTGTTGGTGTGAGGGCTCTCAAAGGCATGGAAAGACCACAGGACGATCAGCAGGTGGCAAATGTGGTGAATGAATCAGCTCAACTTAAATGAACTGATATTTACTGTATATGTACCATGTGCCCAGATTTGTGCTGGGCAGCCTAGGACACAGGAGATACAGAGAATGATCAATACTGCTGGTCCAGTACTGACAGCCTGTACAACGTGTTCATGCACTTGCTTCCACTTAATGAAGCACATCACAAACTCTGTGATCAGGCCACTTGGGTGCGTCAGTCCCACTGTACAGATGCAGACACTGAGTGGCTCCGCCCGTGTCCCCTGTGTGGTGGCCCTTGTGTGGAACTCAGCTCTTCTGACCTGAGTCCAGGTTCCCCCTGTTACGTCGTGATGCCACTCCACTAGACCGAGCCCGTGGCTGGGTGGGGGCGCGCGAGGGAGGGGTGCAGGCGTCTGCCGGGGTCCCAGGAGTACCTCGGTCCCCGCACCGACGTGTGTCTCTCTCGAAGACTGTGGCAGAGACCATGTCTTATTGATTCATTGTCCCTGTGCCAATGACAGGCAATGAATGCTGAATGAAAGGGGGGCAGAAACAAAGCTATAGGGGCCATGGTTTGGAGGACAAGCGCCACGGAAGCTTAGTGGGGGAGGCGGGCGCTGGCCAGGGGTTAGCAGAGGCTGAACAGGTCACATTAAATGATGGGAGAGTTTTGAGGGGTCTTTCCGGCTGCCCCGGGGTGGAGAGCCACATGGTCACTGTGTCTGTTGTCTTTTCAGGCCCCCGCAGAGCAGTGGCACCCAGCGGGCATGCAAGACAGGGGCGACGGGCATTTGAACGGGCCAGAGCGCTGCCCTGGGAGCCAGAGGAGTTGGGGGGCTCCCAGGGTCGAGGGCCGAGGGCTGCCATCCTCAGGCTGGGATTTCTCCTTGAGGGTGAGGCGGCGTTAACGCAGCGTTCGGGCTCTCTAAGGTCCGAAGGCTGGGTCCCGCGTTCCGGCTCTGTCCTGACTATCTGTGAGCTCTCTGGCATGACGCTTGACCCTGCATCATGGAGTCATCTAGAGATTCAATGAAATTACACTTGTAAAGTGAGCAGTAAGGGGCGGTTCTTCATGTTATTATTATTGGATGATGTCAGCAAGGTACTTAAAGCTCTGAGGACGGAGTTTGAGACCGGCAGCCTTGGGAGTAGCCTCGTTGCCAGCGACAAAGGCAGCTTCCCACGCTGCTGGCCTGACGCCCCACCTGCAGCCGTCGTAATCAGGTGGTGTTTCATTCCCACCTCCGGCGTGACCCCTGTGAGAGGACCCGTGCGCCTCACAACATTAAGATGCTAACAAGGGGGAAAGCACATCTGGGAGAGGGGGGAGCGGGTGGGGCTGCAGGGGGGGGAGGCTGCGGGGGAGGGGGGAGGCTGCGGGGGCGGGAGGCTGCGGGGGCGGGGGGAAGGCTGCAGGCCCCAAGAAGCAGAGGCACAGGTGTCTGTGCGTCCTGACGCCTTCGGGGGAGGGGTGGTGCCCCGCCCTGCCGCCTGCTCCCTGGAGGTCCCATCCCCCTCGCCAAGGAACCAGCTGCCCACAGCCAGCCAGCCGGAGAACACCGCAAGACGCTTTAGCTTTCTTGGGTCCCACGACGCCCTCTCATGCCTTCGTGCCTTCGCACCTACTGTTCCCTTACTGGAATGCTCTTTGCCCTCTCCCCCTGCATGAGCAAACCTGTCACTGACGGAATCCCCTGGGGAGGCCTTTCCCAGCTCCCCAGGGCAATGCTAGTCTCCACTGCACTTGAACAATTGCATAGAGCCCACGGTGCGGTGACAGATATCTCCCCACTATCCTGGGATTTGATCCTGGGGGACCCAGTCTTATTAGACATTGTATCTCCAGGGTCCAGGCCAGGAAGAGGCAGAGTGGGTGCTCAATGCTCGTGTGTGGATGAGGGAACCGACACAAAAAGGAGATGGCCTGCTTATTTCCTTGGAGAGGGAAGCTGGCCTTGCCGACTTCGCTGGACCACCAACCTCCAAATGCTGGGGGGCGCTGCAGCCTGGGTGCCCGCTAGGGGAAGACGCATGGCCGTTAAGAGCTCACAGCTGAGTGGGGAAGGCTCTAGGCAAAAGGGAAAACCCTCTAGTGAGGGGCGTGTGCAAGTCGGGGCGGCGCTCAGAGAGGGGAGGCCAGGGGGACTCCCCACGGACGTGGGCCTTCCGTGGCTTTTGACGAATGACCAAGCCATCCTAGCAAAGGGGGGGATGGGCCCTCCAGGCAGGAGCTCTGCACGAGGACTTATGTTTAAGCCAGTCGGATGCAAATCTCTTCCACTATAAAAACCTGCTGCCCCAGCCAGGTGGCTCAGTTGGTTGGAGCGTCGTCCTGTACACCAAAAGGCTGCAGGTTCGCTCCCTGGTCAGGGCACATGCCTAGGTTGTGCATTCTATCCCTGGTTGGGGTGTGTGGGGGGACCGACAGATCGATGTTTCTCTTTCACATCTCCCTCTCTTTCTCTCTCTCCCCCTTCTTCTCTCTTTAAAGTCAATGGAATATATCCTTGGGTGAGGATTAAAAAATAAGCAAACATATAAGGGAAATCTTTCCGCCTCCCGTGGAAGGATCTGGTTGTCTCTAAGGGAGCTTCTGCTGGGCCTCTGTGCAGAGGCAGAGTGGACGTCACAAGTCCACAGGTGAGCTTCTCCCGTTAGCTGGGCAGGGAGAAGGGGAGTGGCAGAGGCCGGCTGTTCTCTGTGGATGAGGATATTAACCCCTCAACCTTCCGAGTGCAGGTCCTGCCCCCCCGACCCCTCCTGCAACCGGTATCTCTGGAGGCACGTGATGGAGGCCGTGGGGCGAGGAGTGGCAGTCGGTCCAGCTCAGGGGACAGGTGTGTGAGCCAGAACATTCCTGGCACCACATCTGAGTGCTCATGGGAGTAGTCCAGCTCCGACATGCCTCAGACCAGATGGTTCTTGAGGACACAATCAAAATAGCCTGGCCCCTGAACAGACCTTGATTTGGTCAATGCTACTTTTAGCACAATTGGAATGACTCGGGGCCAAGGACAGGGCGGGGAATCAAATGAGACCGGGGAAGCCATGGAGCCCGGGCGGCTGCCGTCTGGTGCCTATGTGGAGGGGCTCCTCCGCAGCGGGAGGGAAGGGCACAGGCTGCAGCTTTCTGGAAGTAGACAATTCTTCCTTGCAAAAGAGGTACGGACGGGCTAGAAAACGACAGATCCCTCCCAGCGCCAGCATGGAGCCTTATGTGACTAGGCAGCACTGCCTGGTGGCTCAGAGGATGACCTCTGAGGAGGTCAAGTCCTGCACCCACCCCCCAGCTGTGTGACCTTGGTCATTTGCTGTTTAGTATCTTCCATCCTTCATTTCCTCAGCTTAAGCTGAAAATAACAAAAGAGTGCCTACTGCTGGGGCTTTGGGGACGATTTGAGGAGATCATGCCGGTCAAGCTTGGATGCTCTGTGGGCTCCCTCTGTAGCGACACCTCTCAGGCCTCACGTTGCGCGTTCAGCCTCCAGAGAAGGGAATCGTAGGATTTACCGGCAGCAGGTGCTCAGAAATCTAACCTAAACTGTTCTCCGCCTCTCTTTCTGACACCTCCCTTTCCAGCCCCGTAACGCCAGTCTCATCTGGGCTCTGTGGAAGCTGGAGGCATCTTTCAGTTTGAAAATGGGTTCTGCCCAGGGTCTTGGGTCTCAAAGAAGCTCGGCCAGTGCTGAGCTGCCGGTCCTGGGCCACTTCGACCCTGAAAGCCCACCCCGAGGTCACCCTCCACCCTTCCACCTCCTAGCCTGTGCCGACAAGCACGAGGCGGGCCGGTTACTATGGAACACGGCACGTGGGAAGGAGTGGCCCGCCGGTGCTATCGGCTCCATGCTGGCGGGGGACAGGATGGAGCCAGCGTCCCTTTCCCATTTCCCCATCAAGACCAGCACCGCGGGGAGTCGCACACACCCTTCTCCCCGCTGACCAAGCCCGGGGGCGAGCCGGGCGGCGGCCACTCCGCTGCCTTGGCGTTGCTCTAGGAGGCCCAGCAGCCAACCAGAGGGGGCAGCATGGGGGGGAGCGTCCCCAAAACAACCCACGTTTCATCATCCATGGCAGGGTGCACCCTGATTTCAGAGATGCTAAAATGGGAAAAACTAGGCTTTAGAGGGGAGAGAAGCACAGAACGTCGCGCCCGGAACTGGTCTCTCCTCCCCTGCTCGGAGCTTCCATTTCTGTTTCATTGGCTCGGTTTCTCCCCCACTCCCTACGACTGTGCACACAGAAAAGCACAAAGGACTAAAATGTACAGTCGCGTACTATCACGAACACCCGCCCACGTGACCACCACCCAGGCCGAAAATTAGATGCCGTCAGCGCCCAGGAGCCCCCTTCCGCCCCCTTCCCATCACAGCCCCCAGGTCGCGACCTCCTGGTTTATATGGCAGTTACTCTCTTGCTTTTTTTTATTATTTTAGTATTCACGTTACACCCTTAATATTATGGTTTGCTTTTTGGACTCGACATAAATGAACCATACAGCATGCGTTCTCTCTCTCCACGGTGCAGCTGTGAGATTCATTCATCATGGTTCTGTGTGACTGTGGCTGTTCGTTTTCATTGCTGTCTAGTTATCCTTTGGGAAAATCTACTGTCTCCCT